GGGTGACAGAGCCAGACTGTCTCGGGAAGGGAGAGGGGAGAGGGGAGAGGGGAGATGGGAGGGGAGTTCTAGCATCCCCAAGTCTGTCCCTGAGAATGTGGCTTGAGAAGGAAGGTGGATTCTTTCAGTGGTGTTCACAGACAGAACAACTGAAACTTTAGATTTCTCAGAATGAGATAGTTCACTAAAGCCTACCTATCTGAAAACATAAACATTTATTCATCAAGGGTACCCTTTAAGCCATAAACAAACTCAACCACCAACCACCAAACCCACAAACAAAAGACAAAACCAAACCAAACCAAAAATCCAACAAATAAACAAACAACTTTCCCTGAGACAAGCCACAGAACTTTATTTTGGGAAAACATTTTTTTGTTGGTCAAACTATCAGCTGCTATGAAATACTCTTAGAGATGTTTATCCTGAGCTAGTTTTTTTTGTGGGGAGATGCTGTTTACATGCTATGTTAAAAATAACATGCAAAAATTAACAGACATTGGCTGGGCGCGGTGGCTCAAGCCTGTAATCCCAGCACTTTGGGAGGCCGAGACGGGCGGATCACGAGGTCAGGAGATCGAGACCATCCTGGCTAACACGGTGAAACACCATCTCTACTAAAAAAATACAAAAAGCTAGCCAGGCGAGGTGGCGGGCGCCTGTAGTCCCAGCTACTCGGGAGGCTGAGGCAGGAGAATGGCGGGAACCCGGGAGGCGGAGCTTGCAGTGAGCTGAGATCCGGCCACTGCACTCCAGCCTGGGTGACAGAGCGAGACTCCGTCTCAAAAAAAAAAAAAAAAAAAAAAAAAAATTAACAGACATTAATGATGATGATGATGATGGATATACAAACAACGAGAATAATGATATTGGTATACATCATATGAGTGAAAAAAAAAAGTTGATGGTGGTGATGACAATACAATCGAAACTGCTTTTGCTCCGTGGAAAGCCCTTTGAGATGGGGATCCCCGGCTGTGCAGTTTGCGGTGTATTTGCCTAAAACGCCATCTGGCTGCTACATAGAGGAAGAACACTTTGCTTTTCTGGCCTTTGTTTTCATAATTCTTCAATTTCTCTTTATGCTCCTAAAAATTCTACATAATCCCATTTTGAACACTGCATTCATTCTTTTTTTTCTCTTAGAAAACAATAAGGGTTTTCATTAAGAAGTAAGTCATAAGACTCAAGAGAACAAATAAAACTCTTAATAGGTCTCCCTCCCTCCCTCTCTGCAGGCTGGGGGTGGATTCAAATGAAATTTTGCTTGAGAAAGCAGCCTGTTCGCTTCAGAAAATTGAATATTTTATTCAAAAAAAGTTAATTTTGCAGAATCAATTTGTCACACCTTTACATCATTCACACTACCTTCCCTGCCCCGTTATTTAGAGAACTCTAAGAAACATAATCTATATATGGACATAAGGTTGGGAACAGTAGATACTGGGTAATACTACAGGATGGAGAGATGGAGGCGCCAGGCCGAAACACTACCTGTTGGGTGCTATGCTCAGTACCTGGGTGATGGGATCATCTGTATTCCAAACCTCAGTGTCACACGATATACCCATGAAACAAACCTGCACCTGTACCACCCAAACAATATGATCCACAGACTATATCAGACAAAAGATGTCTGTTATGGTGGCTAACACACCTGGGGTTCAGAAAGTCAGTGGCAGCCACGCACGGTGGCTCATGGCTGTAATACCAGTGCTTTGGGAGGCTGAGGCGGGAGGATCATGTGAAGCCAGGAAATCGAGACCTCACCGATACAAAAAGTAAACAAACAAAAAAATTGGCTGGGTGTGGTTATGCACACTCATGGTCCCAGCTACTTGGGAAGTTGAGGTAGGAGAATCACCTGAGACCAGGAGGTCAAGGCTGCAGTGAGCTATGATTGCACCACCGCACTCCAGCCCAGGCAACAGAGTAAGACCGTGTCTCTTAAAAAATTCTTTTAAAGAAAAAAAGAAAGTTGGTGGGGATGTGAATTCTAGAACTTTCTCTCATCAAATATTTAGAACAGGTTGACATGGTACACTACCTTCTTAAAAGACGGAGGCTCAGCATTTGAAGGAAGCTGAGTGAGACAGATGAATAAAGTCAAGTCACCAATTAAGAATTGGTCCAGGCATAGTGGCTCATGCCTATAATACCAGCACTTTGGGAGGCCACGGTGGGAGGATCACTGGAGCTCAGGAGTTTAAAACCAGCCTGAGAAACATAGCAAGACTTCATTTCTACAAATAATTAGCCGGGAATGGTGGCACACACCTGTGGTCCTGCCTACTCGGGAGAATCGCTTCCGCCTGGGAAGTGCAGTGGCATGATCACAGCTCAGTGCGGCCTCCATTTCTCAGACTCAAGCGATCCTCCCTGTGTCCTCACATGGTCATCCCTCTGTGCGTGTCTGTGTCCTTTTATTTTTTTGGAGACAGGGGTCTCTGGCCCAGGAAAGAGTGCAGTGGTACAATCATAGCTCACTGCAGCCTTGACCTCCTGGGCTCAAGCGATTCTTCCACCTCAGCCTCCTGAGGGGCTGGGATCACAGGCGTACACCACTACACCCAGCTAATATATATATATATATTTTTTTTTTTTTTTTCTAGATATGGAGTCTCCTTATGACGCCCAGGCAGGTCTCAAATTCCTGGCCTCAAGCAACCCTCCCGTCTCAGTCTCCCCAGTAGTTGGGTCTACCAGCACGCACCGCCATGCCAGGGCCATTTTAAAACTTTGTGGCTGGGCGCGGTGGCTCACGCCTGTAATCCCAGCACTTCTGGAGGCCGGGGCAGGCGGATCACATGAGGTCAGGAGTTCAAGACCAGCCTGGCCAACATGGTGAAACCCCGTCTCTGGTAAATATGCAAAAATTAACCAGGCGTGGTGGAGGGCGCCTGTAATCCCAGCTACTCGGGAAGCTGAGGCAGAACTGCTTGAACCCGGGAGGCGGAGGTTGCAGTGAGCTGAGATTGTGCCACCGCACTCCCGCCTCGGCGACAGAGGGACACTCTGTCTCAAAAAATCCAAAAACCAAAAACTTTTTGTAGAGACAGTCTTGCTATGTTGCCCAGGCTGGTCTCGAACTCTTGGCTTCAATATACCCTCACCTGGGCCTCCCAAAGTGCTGGGATTACAGCACTTGGCTCCAGCTTGACCTTTGTTGGTAGAACTACTCAGAAAATATGGCTAATTTAGAAATTGGGTGGTGTCAAGTGAACCCTACCCAAATCTTCTATCCCCACACCAGTTCTCATCCACCTTTTTCGCGTGTTGGAGAACTAGCAAGGCAGGGGCTGCGGCTCGCCCTCCCTCACGCGGCTCAGGCTCTGAGGGCGCGAGGTCCAGGGCTCTCGCGCTGCGGCCGCCACCCGCCCCGAGGCCCCGGTCCCCTCCTCTCGCCGCCGCACCAGGGTAGCGCTGCCACGAGCCGGGCTTTCCGGGGGCCAGGTCGAACGAGGACCGAGATGCTCCACGGCAGGGACGGCAGGCAACAGACCACGGGTAAGTGGCGGTTACGGGACTCTCCGGCCCGCGAACGGACGTTTTAGCTCTCAGGGATTCGATACCACAGGTTGTTTCCAGACCATATGCCGGTCGCTTCCGGCAACTGGAAAGACCAATCGTCAGGCCCGACAATGCAAGACCTGCCCACTTTGCGACGGAGGCAGCCACTCCAGTTCCTCCTTACTTCTATTGTCGGGGGCGCCCTTACGAAAGGTCCTGTCCAATCGTTACCGGGAACGCCCTCCTAGTCCCGCCTCAGGGCCATCGCAGAGCGTGTAAATTCACCTTGACCCCTTCACCCCATTGGCGTATTTCCTTCCGACGCCATGACGTGCACAGCGGCCGGCCGGGGCGGGCCAATGGGCGGGAACGTGGTGTGCGGCTGGCGTCCGCCGCAGTCGCTCCTGGGTCCTAGGGGCCGGAGCCGCCCTGAACGCAGTGTATCGAGGGCTCTTGCCGAAGAGGCGCCGCTGCGGAGCCCGCAGTTAGACGCCCCCTCAGTGGCGCCCGCCTAAGCCGTGGGCGCACCCGAGGGGCAGGCTCGCCTTCCGTCGGCCCTCGCAGCTCGGCTGGGCTCGGAGTCCGCGCCGCCGTCGCCTTCCCGCTCGGGCCGAGAACCGCAGTCGCGGAGCCGCGCAGCCCTCGAAGCCCGGTGAGAGGCGCCGCTGGTCTGAGGACGGTGGACGGAGGGCGCGGGGCATTCGCGCAGCTTTGCGGCCTGCAGGCCCTCCCCGCCGGCGGAGCTGCGCCGCAGGTCTCGGGACGAGCCTGGGGGGCCGGAGGGCTTCGGGAGCCCGGGGCGGGACTGGAGGCCTGAGGCCACCGGGGGTCCCTGGGTGGGTGCTGGGTGCTGCGGAGCAGGGGCGCCGACCTCTGACCCACGAGAGGAGCGCCTTCGCGGTGCTGGTCCTAGTTGTTATTCTCAGCGTCCCTATTATCCGATTGGAAATGAGAGCAGGCGGTTCTCGGGCTCCGAGCCGCAGGGGGCGGGCGAACTGGGAGAAATGTGTACTTTCCACGCCTAGGACCTGCCGCTGGGCAAACGGAGGCCAGTGTCCCTGCGGTCGCTGCCAGGGAGGGCGCACGAGGTCCCCCAGGCGAGGTGACCCGCAGGAGGTTTTGTGACGTCGGACCCGGGGATGGAGGGCGGTCTCCTAGAGGAGCCGTCGGCTTTCCAGGGAAGGCATCCGGCAGGTCGGGGAGACTCGCCGGGGCTGCGGAGGAAGCTCCACCTCTCCGAGGGCCCCCGCGGGGAGACCCAGGGCGCAGGGGTAGCCTCGCGGGGGACCCCGAACCGCAGCGGGGCACGGCCCTCCCCAGGAAGTCGGCACCAGGGCCCTTTGTCCTATGACAGCGTCGATGCCTGGAACCACCAAGAGCTGGAAGAGGCAGGAAGGATCCTCCCCTAGAGCCTCCAGGGGGAGTCCAGCCCTGCCCACAACTTGATCTCAGATTCCTGGTCTCCAGCACTGGAAAAGAATAAACTTCCATTGCTTTCAGTCACCCAAATTGTGGTTATTTGCTACAGCATCCATAAGAATTTAAAAACTAAGAGGTATGAATTTTATGTTGCTGTCAAAAGGCTTTTTCTAGGATAAGTAGATATTTCACGTAGATGGAGCTTTTTCTTCTTTTCATTGGGATCGGAACTCAGTTAATGTCCTCCGTCCTCCTATCTCAGTGCTGATTTTACTTTGTCTTTAATCCTCTGTTCTAAAACAGTGACCCTTTTTATATTGCTTAAGTAAATATCAATGTTTTTTGGTCAGTGTGAGACCAAAAACCTTTTTACCTTGGGTTTGAGAAGGAGCAGTATTTTCCCTCCTCTTTTTAGAGATGGCGTCTCTCTGCTGCCCAGGCTAGAGTGCAGTGGCATAATCCTAGCTCACTGCAGCCCCAAACTCCTGGGCTCAAGTCATCTTCCGGCCTCAGCTTGCTGAAAAGCTGAGAACACAGGTGTGCGCCACTATGCTATATATATATATATATTTTAACTTATTTGTAGAAATGAGGTCTCACTATGTTGCCCAGGCTGGTCTCAGACCTCTGATCTCAAGTGTTCCTCCTCTTTGGCCTCCCAAAGCACCAGGATTACAGGTATGAGCCACCATTCTTTGGCATGGTGGGGTATGCAGTAGGAGAGCAGCGGTGGTGGTAGTGTCTCCATACGGACTCTCACAAAAAGTGGTGTGGGCGGATATTGGATGCCTACTTATTTAGGGGCATCTAAATTCCTGTGCTAAATTAGAAAACTGGCAGCTCTTGAAAGGAGTGATGGCGTGAAGGAGAGATACCTGGACCAACCATCACACAACCCTTATAAATAATTGATACCCTTGGTTTTGATGCCACGTCCTCTTCCATAGTTGTTGGTTGAAATGACACGTGATTCCAGGTGAGCTTTTCCAGATAAATTGCCCTGGAACTTCAGACTTTGTCAGGTGAATCGATGTGGAATTTCAGAATGGGCTGGAATGTCTAAGATGGGCATGTCCAATATTCAGCTCAGTGTGGGGAAACTGGTGGTGGCCAGGGCTGGTTGCAGGCTGAGTTGCAGGGGTGACAGTTCACCTGAGAAACAAAAAAACATGCAAGTCCTGGTTGATGAGGAGTGATTTCACAAATAGTGACCGTGGAAGTCAATGTTGAAAAAACAAATAGATTCAGGGCATAAGGGTGCAGGTTTGTTACACGGATATATTGCCCAGTGGTGGGGATTGGCCTTCTCTCCCCCAAACAGTGAACATAATACCAGATAGGTAATTTCTCAACCCTCGTCCACTCCCACCTTCCCCCTTTTAAAGGTGTCCAGTGTCTGTTATTCCATTCTATAGGTCCATGTGTACCCATTTCTTTTAGCTCCCACTTATAAGTGAGAACATGTGGTATTTGATTTTGTTTCTGAGTTATTTCACTTAGGATATTGACCCTCAGCTCCATTTATGTTGCTGCAAAAGATATAGTTTCATTCTTTTTCATAGATGCATAGTACTCCTTGGTGTGTGTATACCACATTTTCTTCATCCAATGAACACTTAGGTTCATTCCATGATTTTGCTCTTGTGAATTGTGCTGCAGTAAAAATGTAAGTGTAGGTGTCTTTTCTGATAATTTCTTTCCTTTGGGTAGATAACCATTACTGGAGTTGCTGGGTCAAAGGGTAGATCTATTTTTAGTTCTCTGAGAAATCTACTACTGTTTTCCATAGAAGTTGTACAATTTTACATTCTCACCAACAGTGTATAAGCATTCCCTTCTGTGCATTCTCACCAAGAGGTCAGTGTTTTTCTACAAGATAAAATGTAGATTGACAGATAGATCAATGATAGGTAGATGGAATACAGATGACAGATAATAATAGGTAGGTAGATGATAAATGGGATAGAATAGACAGATAGAATATAGTAATAAAATGCATCTACCTGAAAATAGAGAAGAAAAAGATTGTGGGACTTTCCACTCTGTAACCCTGGGGCAAAGAAAGTAGCATTAATGAAAAAACAAAGAATGGGAAAATAAAATTTTTTATTCAGAACCACCCTTCCAGCAGAAAAGAATAGCACAAGCAAAATATTAAGCATTTTGTATGCATTTGTGTAGGTCATGGGAACTATTACAAAAAGGTGGATGTCGCATGTTTCAGTGCTTTTTCTTTTTTCTTTTTTTTGAGACAGGCTCTCGCTCTGTTGCCCAGGCTGGAGTGCGGTGGCATGATCTTGGCTCATGGCAACCTCCACTTTCTGGGTTCAAGGGATTCTCCAGTCTCAGCCTCCTGAATAACTGGGATTACAGGCTCCTGCCACCATGCCCAGCTATTTTTTTTTTAATTATTTTTAGTAGAGATGGGGTTTCACCATGTTGTCCAGGCTGGTCTTGAACTCCTGACCTCAAGTGATCACCTGCCTTGGCCTCCCAAAGTGCAGGGATTACAGGCGTGAGCCACCATGCCTGGACTCAATACATTTTTAATATACACAGAGCTTTGCCAATTTTGGAGGGTTGCCTAGTATTGGAATTTCTGGGTTTAAAATTTTTTTTTTATGTTTGTGTTTCTCCCTTTTAGTTTGATATTGAAGGGGTGGCCTGCCCCTCCACACCTGTGGGTGTTTCTCGTTAGGTGGAACGAGAGACTTGAGAAAAGAAATAAGACACAGAGACAAAGTATAGAGAAAAGCGGGGGCCCAGGGGACCGGCGCTCAGCTTACAGAGGACCCACGCCGGCACCGGCCTCTGAGTTCCCTTAGTATTTATAGATAATTATCTTTACCATCTTAAGGATAAGGGAGTGGCAGGACAATAGGATCATTTTTAGGGAGGAAATTAGCAGTAAGACATAAGAACAAGGATCTGTGACATGAATAAGTTTAAAGGTAAATCCTGTGCCTTGAGATAAACCTTTTAGCAACATTGTTTCATCCTATCACATGGGGATAAACCTTGGACAATACCTAGCTTTTCTAGGAACAAAGTCACACCCTGCACGCCCAAAATCCATTAAACCTTGAGTTACCACAGCACATGTCTCTCGCAAGGACAAGGTTGGGGGTAGGGTCACAGACTAACAGCATCTCAAATACAGAACAAAATGGAGTCTCTTATGTCTACTTCTTTCTATATAGACACAGTAACAGGCTGATCTCTTTCTTTTCCCCACATTTCCCCCTTTTCTTTTCAACAAAACCACCATTGTCATCATGACACAAAGTAATAGAATATCACAAAGCAAGTGGAGGCAGGATGAGATCACAGGATGGTGTTAAAATTAAAATTTTTGGGCATGCATAGTCATGGATAACATCTTATCAGAAAACAGGGTTTGAGAGCAGACAACCTGTCTGACCAAAATTTATTAGGTGGGAATTTCCTCATCCTAATAAGCCTGGGAGCGCTACAGGAGGCCGGGGCTTATTTCATCCCTTCGGCTTCAACCGTAAAAGGCGGCACGCCTCCAAGGGGGTCGTTTATAGGCCTACCCTCAGAGCGCATTCTCTTTCTCAGGGGTGTTCCTTGCTGAGAAAAAGAATTCAGCGATATTTCTCCTATTTGCATAATGAAAAGAGAAGAAATATGGCTCTGTTCCGTCCGGCTCACCGGCGGCCAGTTCAAGGTTGCCTCCTTTGTTCCCTGAACATTGCTGTTATCTTATTCTTTTTCCAAGATGCCCAGATTTCATATTGTTCAAACACACATGCTCCACAAACAATTTGTGCAGTTAAGGCAATCATCACAGGGTCCGGAGGTGACATATATCCTCCTCAGTTTACAAAGAAGATGATAGAATTAAGAGATTAAAGACATAAGAAATTACAAAAGTATTAATTTTGGAGAACTAATAAATGTCCATGAAATCTTCACATTTTATGTTTTTCTGCTGTGGCTTCAGCCAGTCCCTGCGTTCAAGGTCCCTGACTTCCCGCAATGTTCTCCCTCCCTTTTCCTCTATATAAATGTGCCATGGTGATGAAGGCTTGTTCGTTAGTCAATGGTGCTCGATTGCGGTGTTTCCGTCTCCGTGGAGGCGCTTTTCTTTGCATCTCCGATGGGTTCATTGTAGAACTTCAAATGTTTAGTGGGTATCCAAACAGGAAGCTGATTTGCTCCTGGTGAAACACAAGCAAAACCTCTTCCCCAGGTTATCACCTTCCCTATTTCCCATGTCTTATTTTTGTTGTCTTTCCACCAAATCAGTTTTCCTTCATGTGGACTGTTCTTTTTACCAGTAAGATGTTGTTCTGCAGAAGTAGTAGTCTGATTTCTATAAATGTTTAAAAAATTTAAAGTATAGAGTGCTAGATTAAGCTGCATCTGAGGAGTGGTACACTCCTTACTGTCTCCCCCTTTTTTTTGTTTAACTAACTGAGTTTTGAGTGTTCTATTAGTTCTTTCAACTATGGCCTGTCCTTGGGAATTATAAGGAATTCCTGTTGTATGTGTAATATTCCACTGATTTAAGAATTTTTGGAAAGCTTTACTACAATAACCTGGTCCATTGTCAGTTTTAATTTTTTCTGGAACTCCCATTACAGCAAAACAAGATAATAAATGTTTTTTAACATGGGAAGTACTTTCTCCTGTCTGGCATGTTGCCCATATGAAATGTGAATAAGTATCAACTGTTACATGAACATATGATAATTTTCCAAATGAAGGTACATGGGTAACATCCATTTGCCATAATGCATTAGGACACAGACCTCTGGGATTCACTCCTGCCTCTTGAGTGGGCAGGTGTAGTACTTGACACTGGGTGCAATGTCGCACAATATCTTTTGCCTGTTTCCATGTGACATCAAATTTGTTTTTTAACCCTGCTGCATTTACATGAGTCAAAGCATGAAGTTCTTGTGCTTTTATGAATGCAGAGGATACCAGTAAGTCAGCTTGTTCATTTGCTATAGTTAAAGGTCCTGGCAAATTAGTGTGTGCTCGAATATGAGTAATATAAAATGGGAAATTCCTTTTTCTTACAGTTTGTTGTAATAAATTAAACAACTGGTTTAACTGATCATCCATGCTATATTTAATTAGAGCTGTCTCAACATCCCTTGTAGCCTGTACTACATATGCAGAATCTGATATAATATTAACAGGTTGATTAAAATCTTGTAACACTGTAATGACTGCAACCAACTCTGCTCTTTGAGCTGATTGATACTGAGTTTTGATTACTCGCTCTTTTGGTCCTGTGTAAGCCGCTTTTCCATTGCTGGAACCATCAGTAAATACTGTCAGAGCATTTTCTAAAGGCTCATGTCTGGTGATTTTAGGTAAAATCCAAGTAGTCAATTTTAAAAACTGGAAGATTTTTGTTCTTGGGTAATGATTATCAATAACTCCCACAAAATTAGCAAGGCCAATCTGCCATGCACCAGAATTGATAAAGGCTTGCCTAACTTGTTCCTTGGTTAAAGGAACAACTATTTTGTCTGGGTCATTACCACACAATTTTATTATCCGTAATCTTGCCTGACCAATTAATGTAGCTATTTGATCCAAGTACAATGTAAAAGTCTTAATTGTACTGTGAGAAAGAAATGACCACTCCACAAGATCAGTGTTTTGAATAATGATGCCTGTTGGAGAATGTGCAGTAGCAAAAATCAAAAGTTGGAGTGGGGCTAAAGGATCTATCCTATTTATTTGCGCTGACTGAATTTTTTCTTCCACTAATTTAATTTCTTTTGTTGCCTCTGGGGTTAATATTCTTTTACTATTTAAGTCTGGATCTCCTCTTAGGATAGAGAACAAATTTGACATGGCATAAGTAGGAATGCCTAGAGTTGGCCGAATCCAATTAATATCGCCTAACAATTTTTGAAAGTCATTTAATGTTTTTAAAGTATCTTTTCTTATTTCTATTTTTTGTGGCTTAATTTTTCTATTTTCTATCTGCATCCCTAAATAATGAAAAGGAGCAGAGGTTTGGATCTTATCCGATGCTATTGTTAGTCCTGCGTTGGCAACCTCTGCTTGCAGAAATGTGTAACAGTCAATTAATTTTTCTCTTGTTTCTGCAGCACATAAAATATCATCAATATAGTGAATGATACAACAATCGGAAAACTTGTCTC